CCCATTCTCCTCCCCAAGATCTCGTATGAAAATAATTTAGTGTGGTCCACTGCGCAAAAAAAAAACAGTTCTTCTTCACGTAGCCTGCCTACTGACGCTTTTTAAGCAATTTGAGGGCTCTGAGAGCAGCAAAGCCGCGATAAACAGCGCCAAAGCCGCGTAATTGCTTTAAAATATTGCTTATTAAAGCCAATAAACTGCATAGCCTGTTGTTGACAGAAGGAACCTAATCTGATCTAATTCATGATCAATAACAGGACAGACGCACGACAAACTGACTTCAAAAGAAATTTAATTATTTTCAAAACCCATTCAAACGTAATCTATCCACGACTTATTCATCGTCTCCTTTGATTAAATTTTTTAGCCACTTCTTTTCTCTGGGACAGCCGAAAAATACGGCCAGCGACATTACAAGAAACCCAAACAAATTGACTCAGTCGAAATAGACTTTTTCTACGTTTCTTTTAGTGTTTGATATTGAAATAGTAACTTTCCACCACGAAAACTCGAGACGTACAGTTAAAGAACTGTCAGACTACTTTATCTTTGTTGTGAGCATTTCTGCTATCATATTATAATAACTTATCAAAGCCACATTTGACCATGTAAGAATCAAAAGATCTTTAGTTTCGGTGAATGTAAATGCCATGGCCGTAAAATTTCGAAATTAAAGGATTGTCTCGAAACGTAGTTCGAATGGAAAAACTGAAAGTATGTGTGCTTACCATTTCCATCAAGCACTTTTGCTTGCCATCGGGCTGGCAAGACTGCTGGTAGTCTGTTTTTCTCTCGAAATTCAGTAGGGGTTACTAGGCGAGACGCTTTGGCTAAAGGGGAATGGGACGAGACATCCCCAATCGGCCATACCGCCCTTGTCCCGCCCTCTTCCCTACACAGCCAACGCCATACNTTTCTCTCGAAATTCAGTAGGGGTTACTAGGCGAGACGCTTTGGCTAAAGGGGAATGGGACGAGACATCCCCAATCGGCCATACCGCCCTTGTCCCGCCCTCTTCCCTACACAGCCAACGCCATACTGCCCTTGTCCCGCCTTCTTCCCTACTCGGCCACCGCCATACCGCCCTTTTGCGTTCGCGATGACTAAATACTCGTCCTAGTGACCCTTAGAGAAAAAACCGGCTGCCAGCAGGCTACGTAAATGGTAACCAACGTACATGGCCAAAACACTGTAAGCTAGACAGAGTATAATAGAGCGTTTTCCCTCGCGTGCCCAACAATCATCCACATTTATGGGACAAAAGAAAATGTTTACATGAGAAAAGAGTTCAATTCCCACAGGAAACAGCAGGCCTCAATAACAACTCTCTAATTACATCCTAATACCATTATAAATACAAAGCTGAGACTACAACATTCAACTTCAGAATCTCACTATGTTTAAAAAAGAACATTTGGGTTCATTCTTTGTACGGAATAAACATGGGAGGTCTTTTTACAATTTACTTCTCCTAACATTAAAAAAAGAGTGCAGTCACGGCTTCGATGATGCGTCTTATTCAATTGCGTGACAGATAGAAACTGATCGAACCGCGGTGAACGGTCCTTGATTGTTGCAATGTATCAGACGTTGTTCTATCTGCCATCGCAGAACCGGGAAGTGTTCTGATAGGAAACACCGCCAACATGAGGCCGACTTACTCACCAAAGGTCACTTGTGAAAAGGAGAAAGCACAATTTAGCGTGAAACAAAGAAAGAAAGATGTCATGACGAGCTAAACATGTCAAGACGAGGTCAAGAGGTGAGTCAAAGCAGATCTTGTAAAGATTTTTCGGCGCGTTTCTGTTCTGTGTTACCCGACATTTTGCTCTGATGCATGTTCAACTTAATTCGTTGATTTTGCTTCGCTTGGCAATACAGAGGAGTTTCACATTAGAAACTTTAACTGCAAACATGTGAGGGAGGGCGGCAAACTTTGAAGTGTTTGTACCCAAATTTGCATATTTCAAAATGGCGGATATTAAAAGTTGGCTTATTTTAGGAATCTGTTGCTGTACAAATACAAGAAATCCCAAGGAAATTAAACGGCGGAAAGTTGAATCTATCCTCGAAAATGTCCCAGGAGATTTCCTGGTCGGATTCACTTCGTACCGCGGTCATTCTTGGCACGTTTGTTTGAAGTACCAACGAATCCATTTCGGAACACCTGTAGGCCGGGTGCGCTTGAAAAAAAAAAAATACATATTTTATTTTTGAGGAAAGGTTATGAATTGGTTTTGGTGCCATTCAGTTGTAGAAGTATCAGACGAATAGGATTTAAAACTTGCGATAAGCTGACTCGGCAGCGCCAAGAATTAAAGACAATTTTGATGCTTTTGTTGAAGAAAATACCGTAAACCGTTTCAAGTTGCATTCTCTCAAACAAGGGGGAACAAACATCCACGTCATATGTATGGGACTAAGGCCTCCCAATGGACAAAGTATGAGAGAAATTGAATTTTGAGCTGTGTCAGCGATTTGTTTTGATCCTTATTGACATTTACTCTCAAATATCGAAAAGTGTCATTTCCTATAAGTGTCTCAACTAATCTTGTCGCCCATTGTAGTTTTGAAATTTTCGAAGACGTATACAGTTGAAATATTTTTTCAACATTTACCGTGAATCGGCAACCAAAATATTTTCCCCGGAAGCCTTATCGACGATAGTAGATTCTGGAACTTCAAAAACATTGGAAACGTGATAAACATGAGGAACTTGAAATCGTAAAACCACCTGTAAATAATTATTGTCGTCGTTAATTGCAAATTCGTAATGCATGCACAAGTATTGTTCCCGAAAACTTCCTCTTCCTCAGCGACGCATTGGAGGGAAAAACTATTATGTTTAATTATTTTGGAAGAATCAAGGAGAATCGTGTCGATGCTTTGCATTTTAGATATACTGTGAACATCTATCTAGTATAGTTGCAAAATAGTCGTTGATATATATGCGATAATCAATATAACTTTACTTCAAGTAAACTCCGTTAACAGCTAGATTAACTAATATTTTGTTAAAAAAAGATTTTTGCCAAATGACGCTTTCACGAATGGGGCAGTTAAAATAATTTGTAACTAGAGCAGATCGAGTCTCATTCCCTCTTAAAATCAACGCCCTTTCATCACATTGTAAACAGCTGCTACAAATGTCACCACTAACACTGCACTAGAGCGCTGTAAGATCTCCCATTAAGAAAAAAGAAAGGACCTGATAGACTTTCGAGCATTACAATGGCTTAGCACGTGCGTTGTAAATCTTGGCACATTTCGTAGCCGTAATCTGCAAAACCACAACGTGAAACAATAAAGTTCTGCGTATCTTGGATAAGTTAATGCCCGGCGGCTAATTTTTCGCATTTTACTATATTGGGCAGATCTTGATGATTGAGAAATTGAGAATGAAATTCTAACATATATTTGTTAGGTGTAATCCTAGACGTCCTTAATTGCTTGGAGGCTTTGTAAGAATACATTATAGTCCCCTCCGCAGTCAACGCTCACCATACTGATGTTGCCTGACGATACAAACAAATAGCAACTGCGTAGGAGGGTGTATTAATGGTCAAGTTACCTTTATGTAAACTTTATTAACGAGCAGCTGTCGCAGCGAAACTCGCCTATTGGTTACTGCAGCTGTAAAATGAGTGCACAATCCACCGTCACTTAACACTGGGCTTCAATTACGGTTTCTAACAAGTTAACACCTCAAATAGGTTCAACACGCACGTTCTGTAAAGTCCAACGTTTTTTGAATGCCGGATAAAAGGGTCCCCCGAACACCGCTATGAAAATGGTCAATTTTGGATTCTTAGTTTTCTTGGCCCTACTAGAACCCGTTTCAACCTGCTTGGATGGTAAGTTACTTTCTTATCGTCATATTTCGCATATATTGCTGAGCGAAGCGAGCAATAACCTTTCGGCCATGCAGAAAAAAGAAAACAACAAAAACAAAGCAAAACTAAACTAAACCAAAAAAAAAAAAAAAAGGAAAAAGGAAAAACCAGGAAGCATGCTCCTTTGTTTGAAAAATAATATTCACATTACGTGACAAGATTTTTAATCAGTTCCATTTATTGATTCCTTCAGTAAAGTTTTTGTTATGATATATTTCCAGTTATTTTTTAATGTTGTTTTTTCTTAATTAACAGAGTGAACAAGGGAAAAAAAGAACTAAAAAAAAAAAACCTGGCTTCTGCCTGCACAAAATTTAAAAACAAATTTACTCAGCAAATTTAAATGAAAAATAACCACAAAGTTGTTAAGACGGGTAGATGATGCTATCAAATTTCCTGTTTTCAGTTTACCTGCAGCAACGTTTTTGAATAATTTTCATATTCGATTAGCGTTTCTCTAAATGAATTTACAGTAGACCGTGGATATTTGCAGTTCAAGGGAATAGCTCTACTGAACTTAAAACGTAAATATACAAAACACGAGTTTTTTTTTTTTTCATAAATTATTTGCCGCAAGACCAATATTGAATGGTTTGTTGAAAGAAACGTTGGGCACTTAAGGACGTTCGCGCGAAAAGTTTCCAACATCGAGTTATGTCAGAAATGTAAAAAAAAAGGGGGGGGGGGGTGTCACCGACTTCGTAAGAGAACATGCCCGGAGGAACACCCTAAATCTGAAAAAATCGGGGCGTCGTTAGCGAGTAAGGCCACAGTGTCTGTAAGCCCTAAAATATTGCAATTAGATCTTTGAAGTGAAATGTTCTCTGCAAAATATTGTTTAAATGGACCTATTAAGTGTACTTAGTCACCTGGTGAGGTTCCTTAATTAAAGAACAAGTTCGCATCTAGCGACCATAGTATCACGCGCCTTGCAGCCGCAAGATGGCAGGATTTGATGTCCCGTGGACAGAAATCTTGATTTTTTTTTTCTTTCCAGAAAAAGATTTTGTTTACAATTATCTCCACATTGTCCGAAAATGAACAAAAAAATCAATGTGGAAGGTTAAGAAAATCAATGTTGGAAAATTTTCGCGCAAATCTCCTTAAGGCTTCGCGAGTGGAGTCGAACTTGTGCTTGTATTTTTTCAACGGCTCTGACAGGTTTGCAACGCCATCTTGTGAATTTCTTAAGAAAAAGATGATTATTTGATCTCGAAAGTACAACAAATTTCCGTCTTTCACAAACGTTTTTCATAGTTACGTCATAAAAACGGTGTTTAAGGGTTTACCAGGGCAGTAAATCAACTAGGGAAGCCGCTAAACATTTCAAAAGCTTGGCTGTTGCTTAGGTAAAACGTTTCGATGTCGTGAAAATGTGGTCATAGCGAGTAAGGTTAGTTTTACTAACTATATGTATGTTTTTTAGATCAATGCCGTGAATTGGAGTTTCCAGGCTATTATTTCTTCTATGGGGAACGACTGTTTAATCACGTGATAAGAACCATCAAAGTGTTGGACCAGGATTCCTGTGAACTGCAATGCTACATGGAACACAACTGTGTCAGCATTAATTTTGATTTTACTGGGACACACAACTGTGACTTAAACAATGCAACACATAAACAGCACGAGAAGGACCTGGTGAAAACAGAAGGCTACGTATACCATGGAACAAATGTAAGATGAAGTATCTGAAACACGATAGACCGTGTTTTTCCCATTTCAAAACATCGAGAACACGACATACACCGGAGTATTTTTCATAAGCTTTGAGGTATTTTCAAATGTGGCGAGACACTGCTTCTCGTGTTTGATAGAATATCTCAATCGAAACTAAGAGCGGAGAAACTTATATATCCAGACTAACTAAAATCAGATATCCAAACGCCTTCAGGGTTATAATTTATGAACTGCTAGTAAGTTTAAGAATATAATGCAGATAATTTGTGAATATTTAGGCAAAGAAAGGAATTAGCTAGTCAATATTCAACAAATCAAACAAACAAACAAACAACAAGCACCATAAATACCTTCGCCAGGTCAAATGGAAGCATATCTATTCCATACTCACTTCAGATTAATTGCCTTTTACCCAAAAGACGTTTTCACACAGTACCAAGAGGGATATGTTATTGTGACTAAGTATAGTTAAAAAGAACTCATAGGCGTACCATGCAAAAAAATCACGTCTCTCGATATAATTGTGAAATACAGATTTTATCTTAAAGAATAATCCGTATTTTTCCTTGTCTTTAAGAATGCGTGTGGTAAGGCTCCTTGTCAGAACAGTGGAACATGTCAAACAGGCTTTACAAGTAAAGGATACCGCTGTTTATGTAACCCAGGATTCACGGGTGACAACTGTAAATTTGGTAAGGAATAACTGGTTGCATCCATTCTGCTCCCATGTAATTGAATCCCAAGAATTAACATGAACAAACAGAAAAATCCAAGAATAGAGGTCTCACAAAACAGGACAAACTATAAAATATAAAACAAAATTAACTGAATAGACATATTAAGAAAGTTGTAATTTTCTGTAGTACCAGCTCCATTTGTTGTCAGCTATGAAGAGAAGGACAAAATAAAGGTGGTGGATGGGAGCCGTGAAAGCCGGATCTATGATCAAGTGGAAGTGGAATGATTTTAAAAAGAATAAGCTTTTTGTGGTTTAGTTACTGCATGCAGTAGCAATCCTGTGTTTTAGATATCGACGAATGCAGTAAAGATATTGTGCCAAGACAAAATGATCTTGTACTTTGTCACTTGGCAAACAAATCTTTCAGCTTTTAGGGATAGGACAAACACTATGACAAAACTAATTTTTCAAAATTCCAGTTCCATGATTCATTTTTGGGCCAAAAAGCATTAAAAACAGCAATTTTCTAATATTTCAGATATTGACGAATGCAAGGACGACCCACACATTTGCGGCTTAAATGCTCTCTGTAACAATACCAAAGGATCATATCAGTGTACCTGTAATACCGGATATACTGGAAATGGACACAGCTGTAGAGGTAAATGATTCCTTTTGTTTGATTGGTCCAAAAAGCGTTACAACTTAGTTTGAAACTAACGGTGTTTTGTCATATCAATTTGTTTGTAATGATAAGATGTTCACCGAGTCGGGAATTAACCTATTGCACTTGTTACGTAGCTGAATATTTCAACAACATTGCGCCCTCTCGTTTGGCACGAATTGATTAGCAATGGAACTGTTTCCCTCCAAACTTCTCTGAACATGCAAACGGTGCAAAATGTACGACGTCAAAGGATAATAATGCACCATTATACCTTTGAATATTCATTGATCAACGATTAATGTTCCCACATTTGATCTACTAATTGTCTTTGCTGTAGTATTACAAAATAATTCAGGACTAGTCCCTCCGGAAACCAGTTTTTTAGTTGTATATTTTTTTCCCCGTAAAATCTCAAGTTGGGATTATCGTAGAAAAAAAGTTACAGTACACCTCTGAAGTGGTCAATATCAGGAGTTGTCAACTCTTTTTCAGACATTGACGAGTGCGTTCAAGGCACCCACAACTGCAGCAAAGATGGCGCTTTGTGTAATAATACTGAGGGATCGTTTAATTGCACTTGTAAACCTGGATTTACCGGAGATGGATACAGCTGCACAGGTAAGGATACTTGTTTGGTAGAAAAAAGGTGTTAAGAAAAGAAGTTGCTGGATACAACAAATCGAGATTGGACCTCACGGAAAATGGGTGTCATGAAGAATTGGGGTCTATTGAAAAGGGATGAAGAGGGTATGTTTAACAGGCTTCGAAGGTTTCTGCATGGATGTTGCCAAAAAAACAAAAAAAAGCAAGGGCGATAAGAGAATTGGTTAGGGTTGATTATAATAGTCAGCCATGATTTGGATGAGGTTTAACCAGCAGAAATGATGTTTTGCGGGATAAAGAGTTCATCGCTCCTCCCACCCCCTTCACAAAAACCAAAAAATCTAGAAACCAAAATCCTGTTGGTACGGAAACTGAAATCTCAGAGGCTGCTTTACAGCTAATGATGAGGTGTAGGATATGGTTAGATAATGCATACCGGTTAATGACGTCACTGAACAAGAATTTTTTTAATAGATATTGACGCGTGTTCTCAGGGCTCCATCAAAAACTGCAGTGAACATGCTCATTGTAACAATACCGCTGGATCATACAAATGTACATGCAGGGATGGATATTTTGGAGATGGTCACAACTGCACGCTCGGTAAATATTGTTTTAGCACGTTGTTCTAAGTAATACGATAGCTGAACTGCAAAGTGCTAGAGTCGACACGCAATCTAGGTCTTTGTCATCTTGTACTCATAACGCTATCATTAATGATCCTAATGTTATTATACACCGACTCTTTTTCAGCTTTTATCATCAATTCAGCGATATTATCAAACAATCAACAGTACCTACACCACTTGCACCTTTTCCTTGCACCGGAAGTCGGAAACATTTCCCAGTGGTTATTGTGTTACCGTCAGTCTTCACATGGTGACTTGGACTCTACATTTCACAAAAATTGCGATGGAAAAGAAAACACTGTTACCATTGTAAAAGAAAAGGAGTTTGTATTTGGAGGTTACACTGATCTCCCGTGGGGTAATTGTAGCTACTATATATTTACATAGGTTTATGTTGTAGGCACATCGTATCTGCCTCTGATCTAGCTGT